TTTGCTCACCATTTACCATTGAAGTGAAACAAATAAAGCTGTTTTTTTTTTTTTTTTCTGTCTCCCCAGATTTGTTTTTCTGAACCAGAAAATGTTATTATTGTTAAATGCATCATGAAACGCTGGGTTTAAAGTGAAAAATTGAAATGTTCTTGTTGTTTACTCGTGAATACTGTATATGCTGTCTGCATATAAGCAGAGGAAGCCATGCATATAAATCCGCTCAGCTGCCTCGCTGCTGCCCACCCTGAACAGGTGGTGCATTTGAGGTTCAGGAGGAACCCTGTGCTCAGGTGGCCATTGCCAGCGAGAACAACAATTAAATCAGGTTTTATGAGACTGAGGGAAAAAGCTTTAATGTTTTTGTTTCAGCATGTTGGGTTTACAAGTAAAGAGGTGAGATAAACACATGGAGGCATGAATTTATGGAGCAACAGAGAGAAATGGGTCAAATATCAGATAAATAGCTTTATAGCGAAACTTTCTGCACCTGAACACCTCTGCATCATGAACCAAGAGATTATGTACATTAATCATGGACATGAAGGTCATAGTAATCAATGTGTGTAAGCTATAATTAGATATGTTTCAATAAAGCAGGTTCAGATATAATTTGAGTTTTTTTCAGCTTATGCATCATAAAAAATCCCCCCTAATAAATCACTTTCCTTAAAAAAGTGGAAAAAGGAGTATTATCATTTTTTTGCAGTTTTAATATCTTAAATCCTTAGGCCTTAATAGTTTAATGGTGTATTTGTTTCTAAACCAGTTTATTCTGGGTTTGGGATCCTCACCAGTTTCTAATCTGAATCAAGTTTGAAGCCGTAACTTTTTAAGATAACAAAAAATTAATCTGCTTTTTACTGTAGCCTCTACTGCAGTGGACTACTGGTGTATTTTGATGGCTATTGATAATGTAGACATATTTTAGAAATAACAAATTTTAACTGTTTGTCCTACAGCTATTGTTGCTCCTAAAGAAAGATGATGTTAACTACATTTTGTTTATGTTGTGTACATTAGAAAAGAGCCTTTATTTGAGAAGGAAAGGTCCTTACATCCAGATTATACTTGTTCAAAGAGAAGAAGGATGTTCTAAGGTTTTATTGGCTTAGGATACAGACAAAGGAGAGCGGCATCGTCAATTTCTGGAACCCCCCCAACCTTTTTTCCCAGTAAATGGCGGGAATGTTTTTAGGTATATTGCATAGCCAGTATGTCTAATTTTCACTCGGTTTGGATTAGAGGAAATCCATTGAAGCTTTAAAGTGGATGGCTGCAAGTTTGACTCCTAATAGACGGTAAGGCCGTTTCTCAATTCACAAGAACGCGAGTACAGACTCGTGTTCTTGCTAAGTATGTTCAATTCAATTCAGTTTATTTATATAGCGCCAATTCACAACACATGTCATCTCAAGGCACTTTACAGTTCAACCAGATCATACAGTCAAATTGATACAAAGTTTTCTATCTAAAGAAAAACAGTTGATTGTATTGACTCATTGACTAAATTACAATCCCTCACACTAAGCATGCTTGTAGCGACAGTGGAGAGGATAAACTCCCTTTTAACAGGAAGAAACCTCCAGCAGAACCAGGCTCAGTGTGAGCGGCCATCTGCTGAGGCCGACTGGGGTTCAAGGAGACAGAAGCAGAGACACAAAAAGCAGCTGTAAAAGGCGTCCAGGAAACACACAGCCAGGCCGACAAGCTCCGAGCCAGCTCCCATGCCAGAAGATGAAAAGAGAACATGCAGGCAGTCACAGTCAGAGAAACAGGACTACACTGGAAAACAGGCCGATTTCCAACATCTATAAACAAAGGTGTTGATGGCAGCAGCACAGCTTATATTTCTCTCCAGGATGGAGTCACAGCCAAACAGGAACAGACCAGATGAAGCTACTATGAGAAAAAGCAGAGAGAGCAGAACGTTAAGAGATTGTACTAACAGATTCTGCAGAGTGGGAGAATAGAGAGAGAAGGAAGCAGAATGATGAAATAGGGGTCCCTATGTCCTTTTCATGAGAAGAACAAAGGAAAGTACGCTTGGGGAGAACAGGAGCACACAGCATAAATATGGGTCAATTGGAACAGAAGAGTACCACACTCTCAGCTCGTCATGAGCTACATTTCACCTCAATAATTTTTTTTTTTTTTCATGTATTAGCGGAATAATAAATATCACAGTCAGATAAACACAAATCAAATGAACATTTTGGCAAATAAAACAAAAAAATCGCCATCAGAGCCACAGTACTTCACTGTGGTTAGCCCTGGCTAACCGCACATGAGAAAATGAGATTGCACAAGTACACATATTGAGAAACGGCCTAAGTGTCCCACCCATGTTCTGTACTGTCTGCCAGCCATTTGCCAGGTCCGCCAATGCTAATGCTAACCAAAACAAATATTTAACTAAAAAAGCTGCAATTGCCCCTCCGAGCCTCTTTGCTTCCTTAAGTCGACACCGATGCTCCGAACCTTGATCATTGTTTATGCTTATTTGGCTTCTTTTTTGACCGGCTTCAATCTGAGAAATGTAACGCTAAGAGGAAGCCTTTTAATGTTGATGTTGTCATAGTGATCAGACTTAAATATTTATATATTTCCAACCTATCAAAATGAATAAAATAGCCATATACACTCTTTTTCAGTAAAAATTTATACTTTTATTTTACACCACTTCAGACTTTCTGTTCATATTATTTATTTTTGTTTTTAATTCTTCTTGTGATGTAACCGTTATAACTGACTTATAACGGTTTCATCACAAAACTCAAAATTTTCAATTAATTATAAAAACTTTAAAAACCGAAGTGACTTTATGAAAAGCTTAAATGTGCAGACATCTTAGAGGACCACTTGTGACTCATAGCAAACATGTAGTCACGTTATGCACTTCATGTAGCTAGATAGAAAATATAAGACCTTCATGACTGTTTCATGTTAGCAGTGCAGGACAGTAGTATTTTCATAAAACTGTCCAAATGACGGCTAAACTTACTTGCCTGACTCAAATAGCAATGAAGTTGGTGGGAGTCAAGAAGCACCCCTAACTTCAGACCATCTTCAATGCAACAATAACCAGACAAGCCCAGAAAATCATCTCAGACCCCACTTATATTCTTTATTCAGAGTATCAGTTTCTTCCTTCAGGTCGACGTCTTAGAGTCCCTGCCTGTAGATTGAACCGCTATAAGAACTAATTTGTTCCGCTTTCCATTAAAGCAATAAACAGTATCAAGCAGTAGATCGTGGAATAGGCAATGGTGTTAAATATGTAAACTAAACTGACATGCTTTTTTATTTATTCATTATCTAATATGATATAATTATATAAAACTGTAACTGGAGCGTGTAACAAAAGTAATTTCCCTCTGGGATTATTAAAGTATTTCTGATTCTGATTCTGATAACAGACTTTTTAAAGAAGGGTTTTTGTACATTTTTTTCCCAAAATAGTTTTATTGTGAATGTAATGTAAATGGTAAATGGCATGCACTTATATAGCGCCTTTATTCAAGTTAGGAAACTTGACCAAAGCGCTTTACACTACATTAATTCACTCACACACTGATGGTGGCAAGCTACATTGTAGCCACAGCTGCCCTGGGGCTCATTGACAGAAGCGGGGCTGCCATACACTGGCGCCACCGGGCCCTCTGACCACCATCAGTAGACAATGCAGGTGAAGTGTCTTGCCCAAGGACACAATGACACTGAAAGTCAGAGTCGGGGCTTGAACCGTCAATCCTTCGATTTCAGGGCAAACTCCTACATCCAACGCCACTGTCGCATTTAACATGCTTCCTTATGTATTTATTTATTGTGGTGTTTTTATGTGTGAATGCAGTGTGACTAGGGTTGTCACAATACTAAACTTTTCAACTCGATACCGATACTAAGGAAAATATTCGATACTCGATACCATTTTCGATACCACAAGAATAAAAACTCCAAATTTCAACAGAAATATTTTGATTAATAATTAAAATACAATAAGTAAATACAATAAACAATAAGAACAATATTTTGAGGTTGTTTGCTGTGCACAGTATTAAGCAAGCTTGATAAAAAAACTTACAAAATTAAAATAAAGTTTTCCTTACTTGGATATGCTTTGCACACATAGCAATGACACTAGCCAAACTGGTTAAGAAGCAAAAAGTGCACAGAATTATTCATTCCCAGAGTGTTCAGAAAGTGCATTTTCCTCTATTCTGCACTTTAGATGAATGAGTGTTTAGGTGCCACTGGTGGTGGCACTGTATCGATACTTTTGAAAATGAGTATTGTATCCGGATACAACATTTCAGTATTTTTAATAATCGATACTTTTGACAACCCTAATAGTTACTGGTAAACGCTGTTTTCCCTGGTTACTCTTTGTTGCCCCCTAGTGGCCCTTTCCTTTCCCCTTGGCTCCTTTCTAGCTGCTTCTGTCCACACCTGCTCCCAATTAACTGATTAATCCACTCTTTGTTCTGTCTCCCATATAAACTCCTCGTCTGCAGTTCCTCAGTCCTGGATTCTCTTAATTTCTTCTTGCATGTTTCTCCTGAGTGTGAGTGTGAAAATTAGCTGTTGAACTGTATCCGCCTTGGTTTACCTTCATTATTTGATGATTTATGCTTAATGTAGTTAAATATGAAATTAAATCAAACTTTAACATATTGATATAGCAGGAATGTTTGGTGAAATATTTCCTCTGTATGTCGAGTTATAGATTGAACACTAGTGCTTATAATCAGAGTGAATCTGAGTCTGTTTATGAGGACCAATAAGGATCCTATTCATTTTTGTATCCCTGTGGTGTCACCCTCCTCTTCATTTGCCTTTCCTTTTAAAGGCAAATGAAAAGTATCAATACTCAAAAAAGTATCAATACTTTTGTAACACATAGTTTGGACTATGTAGCAGCCAGAGTCTCTACCCAAATCAAATTTCCTTTGGGACAATGAATTCGTTGAAGAAAAATCTAAGTGAGCTCTTTTCTTCAGGTTGTTGTCCACATCACGGATGAAAACGATTGCACCCCAGAGTTTCTTCACTCCATCTACACCAGAGATAACATCCCTGAGAGCGTCGCAGCTGGAACCTCACTGCTGCAAGGTAACACCACCGAACCAGAGGAGATTGCTGCAGGAGATCCGTTCCTTTCCGCTATCCTGTTGATGCTTTCCTTTTATTAATCCATATTTGTAGTTTTTGTTCTTCTGGTCTTTATGCTTCTTCACTCTCTACCCTCCATTGTTTTAAAATCCGTTTAAAGTTTAAAATCTTAGTAGAACCTCAGAATCTATCTCTGATTTTAGGTTTGTGTTTTATTAATTTTTTTTTTTTCATAATTAAATCCCAGGTCCAAAAGCTTCTCTTTCAAACAGTTTTCTATTTGTTACCTTCTTTTTTATTCCATCATCTTTTTATTCCTCTTTTTTCCACCATATTTTCTTATTCATTCCTCTTTAATTCATTTCAACCTTTTTCATTTCACATTTTCAGTTTATGCCTTCCTTTTTTTGTTTTTAGTTTTTACCTTTTTCTCTGCTATGTCCTTGCCTCACTCTTTTCTCTCTGTCAAACCTTGTCTTTTTTGTCCTTGATATTTTTTAGAATAAATTCTCCCGCCTTTTCCCCTCAGTTCTCGCTCGTGACTGTGATTCCGGCGTGAACTCGGAGCTCTCCTACTTCATTCCGAGTGCCGATTTTGACATCACTTCCGGGGGCGTGGTCAGCCCCGCCCGTCGCCTGGACTACGAGCGGCCCAATCACATCTATGAGTTTGTAGTGGTGGCGGTGGATGCGGGGACGCCTCCTAGAACTGGGACGGCCTCTGTCCGCGTCCGTGTGGCCAACACCAACGATGAGGCGCCGGTGTTCTCCCAGAGCGTGTAAGAATCTTCCCCAGTCTCATCATTCGTTCATATCTCCTCAGCTTGGTGTGGATTCAGTGGCGGTTCTAGACCAAATGTACCAGGGGACCAGGAGGGGGCCAGCCTGTTTTCATGGGGGCACAGAAAAGCATGAAATAAAAAACAGGGCAAGGATTCAAATATATTAAGAGAGCTGCATGAAGTGAAATTTCTTTTCAATTAGGTTTAATTAAAATTCTATGCCTTATTCGGTTAATATGCGTTTATAATTTACGAATGTTACATATTTTTAAATTTTCTATAAAATCTGAATGAACTAAGTTTTTTTTTGTTTTTTTTTTTTGAAAAACTTTTAGCAGATGAAATATGGGATTCTATCTCAATACGACCAAATCTATCACCTTATTGTTTTTAAATAATTAGTAAAACAGAATATGTAAAGAAGAGCTATCATTAACCATGTCTGTTCCAGCGCATATCATCATTAGAATTTCTTTGATTATTATGTCTTCAGTACAGGGGCAGGGACATGATTTACAGGGGCCCTGGCCCCCATTGGCCCCTGTCCAGAACCACCCATGTGTGGATTTCACTTTGCCTAATAATAAACGTTTGAAATCTGCCCCTCTCTATTTTTCACTCCTTCTGTGTGACTCTGTCATCCACAGAATCCATCTGCTAATTGATGTGGTTTTAAAATCAGATTTTATTTTTAGTCCTGCTTCCCTCCATCTGTTTTCACCTCATTTTCACCTCTTCACTCGATCCAATCTGTTTCCTTCACACTGTCTCGTGTTTGTGTATTTTTTTGCACTTCTTACTAACTTTGTTTTTACTTTGTGCCATATGTCACCTCTTCTTTTCTAATGATGTGTTTTTGTCTTCCCACTTTGTGCAGCTATAAGACGTTCCTCAGCGAGGACGCCGGTCCTGACACGCTGGTCGCCATCGTTCACGCCAACGACCCAGATGGGGACGCCGTCTCCTACGCCATTACAGGTGGCAATGAGGACAGCAACTTCCAGCTTGATAACCAAAAAGGTAGCATGAAAACAACAGATGCTGAACAACCCTGCTGGTTTTATTTCTCTAAATATTACAAAGCAGCTCTGAAGCAACTTTAAAGCTCTTCATAACTTTTTAAGACGATGCAACCATTTGCTTTGTGGAAAAATAACAAAGTATTCGAATTTGTTGATGACCTGCAGCAAAGATTTAATAATGATTATTTAATGAAGTAAGCAGAATTTGAAATAAGTTTGGTGGAATGCAAAAAAATTTAAATCCAAGTAAATTTTTCCTAAAATTACTGCATATTCTTTCTTTTAATATGCTGTTCAGTTAGACACTTTGCCAATGAGATAATAGAATATACTTTTAATGTGACGTACAGGGATTGGACCCAGAATTCAAACCAGCACAGGTCAGTTACGTTTGAAACAAGCTTTATTTAAAAAATAAAAAAACACACAAAAAAAACAGGAAATAACCCATGAAAGTCATTATGAACACCTATGAGACACCTCAGATTCTATTTATTAACACTTTTATTTTAATAGCGGCAAATTAGGGCCAAATCAGATGAGACACATTTTAATACATTTTTTTGGACAATTCCAAGCAGAGCTGTAATTTTGGCAAAGTGTAGCCAAATGTGCAATAACTGTGTTTTTTGTGATTGTGTTTTTGTAATGAAAGGGAATAGGGTCAAATAAAAGTGGTGATTTCCATTGCAGAGCTCCTGCATATAACAGAGCTATTCAGAACTATATTTAGGCTGTCTGTAATCAACTGCATCTAAAGCTGTTCTTAAAGAAAGCCATGTGTGAAGGAGGGAAGTGACTATAACCTGTTATGCATGGAGAGAAATATGTGTGATGGTCTAGCCTCGATCAATGCCCCAGGCCCTAGAACTGGTGGGCCAATCACAACGCAGAGATGTGTTTTTTGGACGCAAAGGGGGCGGGGTTTTGAGGGCATGACAACAAAGCTGCGCAACGCTAGAGTAAGCACAGCAAGGAAGATGGCAACAACCATTGAACAGTAGCATGCACTGCGGCAGCAGCAGCGTTGTTGCTGTTGTTCAATAAAAGTACGTTTTAAGATTATTTGAGGTGAGAATATTAAAGTGTCACTATATGGTCCATTTACCGATTTAATAAGTGATTGAAAAAAAATTATTTCCGAAGTTGCGAAGACTGCGGCAGCCAGCGGACCTCCGACGCTAACGGCAGCTAGGGCTAACCGCAGCCCGTCTGCAGTGGCCGTCTCTCGGCATAGTCGTGTGTGAAGGACCGCTGGCTCTGGCGATTTTTGACTCAGCTTTGGAATCAGTTTTGGAAGGATTAGACTTGGGGTTTTCGTTGAAACGTGAGCAGAAAGAGGCTCGACGCTCATTCATTTTTAAGAAGGATGAATTCGCTGTTTTACCGACAGGCTGTTTGTTTTCCCCTCCCCCACCAGCTAACTTCGTCACATCCAGTTGCGCTCATTGGTCAGAGCGTTGGCCAATAGGCACAGACGTGGTTTGAAAAACAACGGGTTGTTCTCATCAACAATCTTCCAATGTGTCATTCATCAGGGCCAGACTAAATTACACATTTAATCTCACATTTAGTCTGGTTTATAAGGCTAGTGAAAAGTCTCTATTTAGAAGAACAGATGCCAGTCATAAGAGGCAGTGTCATATAGTAAAGTGCCATAAATGTTCTTTAAAGTACTGTAAAACAAAATGACTCTAGCAACTTGTTTAAGAAATTTTAAAGAATTCTTCTTTTTAATATTTATGAGTAAAATAATGGACTGTGTTTGACAGAAAGAGAAAAACTGAAATAACCCCTTTAAGATGCATAGTAATGTTATATGCATGTACAATGTTTATTTATGTTTATGCTTTTACCAGACACTTTTATCTAAAGCGACTAAAGCAGGCATTACTTGAAGGGTCTTGCCTAAGGATTCCCACTGGCAGCTCGTTCCCCCCAGCGGGTATTCGAAACCAGGTATGCGAGTCGGGTGACTTACCATTTGAGCTAGCCAGCCACACAAAATGACCAAATACCGTCTCAAGATGATAAAATAAGATTGTATGGACCAATTGATAATGTTTAGATAATGTTTAGTCCTCTTTGAGACTAAATAGAATTTCAGCACCGGGGACAGGCAGACATAAACAGATGTGGCGCCATCTGCTGGTAGTACCACATAACTAACAGAAAGACAGCTCAGTGTGGTCACAGACCAACCAATTCTATGTAAATAAACTGATCTACAGCATTTTTCTATAGTTCTATAGAAGCTTCCTAAGGGTTTCCTATCAGAACATCAAGAAAAATATAAGAAAAGAATAAGAAAAAATCTATTCCAAACAAATGCAAACATTGACACAGCTTCAATGTAAGAATCTATCTTTCTGCCTGCCAATCTGTATATCTACACTTTTTGAAATTAGGCTGTAAAGGCTAAGAATTGCATTGCCACCACAAGCTGCGTTTCCATTAACCTTAAAATGGCACAAATTTTTATTGCAAAAAGAAATTTGCTAAATTGAATCAATGGAATTTTATTATGAAAAAAGGTTTTAACGCTTTAACGAGGTGGTTCTTCGGTCAAAAAGAAATTCTTATGTTTTGCAAAACTGCGATGGAAACTCTTTTTTTCCCCTTCTCACGAGTTACACTAACTGCAGCTGAACCGTACTGCCTTTTAAAAAGACGAGGAAGACGACCAGAAGAAGTTGGAGGATGATGGCGCCCCGCTAGCCTCGTGAGACCATCCTGATCTCGCGAGCTTTCAAGGTTTCACTCGCAGATCAGTCTGGAGACTCTCCGTTAAAGAAAATTTGGAACTGTTCACCAAATGAACGTTCAATCAGCGTTGGCTTTGAGGCGGGTTGAGGTGTGACGCAACGAGAAGCGCGACAGTTCAGTCTAAACAACATGGCGGCTTCAGCCGATTAAACTAGCGTTAGCGTGGCTATGGAGCAAGTTTATCGGAATTACAGAGTATTTCTTCATTGGAAGAAGAGCAAAACACTGCTCTGGAGGCTTTTCTCAGAGGAAAAGATGTTTTTGCTCTTCTCCCGACTGGTTTCGGCAAGAGTAGCCTGGCTTGTGGTTGTGTTTTCGTCGTCACTCTGTTAGTACGTCATATGCTTCGTTGATCTGATTGGTTTATTTGGCCCGTCTATCACCAACATAGGCCAAACAGCTAACCAGTATTTTCGCCCCTTCCCAAAATTACTTCAACGGAAGGTTTCCAGATGGATATGCGGAGCAAATCCATCTGGTGGAGTCAGGTTAGCGCCCCGCTAGAGCAGTAGCTGAAAAATTGAAACATATTGTTTACATCCGCCGCTGCAATGAGAAAAACATATCCATGTGCAGTTTTTATTTTTTATTTTTATTTTATGGCAATACTGCAATTGCGAAACTCGTACTTCTTGGAATCTAATATTTTTTGCCCCTTTTTCACACTGAATCTCGGACTCATCTTTGTTTCCGCATTTCCCTGGGAGGAGCTAACTGGCTTAGCCACGGGAGGCTAATTCCTTTACTCCCTGCGCACAATCATGATATTGTTCCTCCTTTGTTATTGTATATATACACAAACGGCTTTATTTATAAACAAGAATAAAGGGTTAGGACACAAAAATAATAATCTGTCAGCAGGACGTGGTAATCTTTCAGAAAAACGTAAGTGAGTTACTAGCGTACACGTTTATACTAGTGTATGTATTTGATAAATGTTATAAAGTGATGGATCATTTAGCCCAATGGGCTTATGGGGTTACAGCAAAGGAGAACTGAAGTCAGTATTCATGTTTATTTGCACACCTCTGGTCATTATCGCTGATGTATTTTGGAAAACAATGTCAGGATGAAAAAGAAAACAGAAAAAATACGACATGGTGGTTTCTGCCCCGGAAAAAGCTTTTTTAAACTTCCATTTTTTCCCACCAATGATCTACGGTGAATTTGAACTGGAGTCTGAGGCTCAGCAAAATCACTGAGCTATAAAAGTTCCAGAGTTGATCACACCTGCTAGACTTTTTCAAACAGATGGCGAACAAAACTACTTTGTCAGATTAAAAATTACTTTTTGTCATAAGGAATGTTGCCAGCTCAGTCAGATTTAACTTGGATTTGAGCAGTAGAATAAGTGTTTATTTAACCAGACGTTCATGTTCTGAGGGCATTCCTGCATTTCCTGCAGGAAATGTCCCTTTCTAATGGGACAGTAATGAATGTCAACATGATGTTTTTCAGCAAGCAGAACACTTTGACACACTGAAACAAGGCGAACAATCATTTTTACATATGTACACACACACACACACACACACACACAATGGCAGCATTCAGATCACTTACATTCACACATGCACGCTACAAAGTGGTTGTTTCCATGGTAACAAGTTTTTGGGGATAAAGCATGGTGGTTTTAACGAGGCCAGTGTACCCCCTGGAAGACACGTTCACCACAACCGCATAAATAAAAAAACACAAATGCACATAAATAAACACTGCAGCTGGAACACAGAGACCGTTCTTCTTCTGCTCGCCGTCCCTGATGAGCTTCACTCATTTCACTAACTCTGCATCTATCTTTGTGTGGACGGTTTTTCCTTTAGTGACTGAAAGTAAAAAAAAAAAAAACAACAAAAATATGCCAATCTAGGTCTTAGGTATGTGGAATCCAACATTTTACTTTTTTTTATCTAGTTTTGGGGTTGTTTTTCTTTGCTGTTCATCTAGTGATGCTTTAGGGATGCTTTCTCAAAAATAAAACCCTAAATTATTCCAACTTAACTGGCAGAAACATCCATGTTTTAGCATCTATGTGCATTCAGTGGCCTTTATCGTTATCTTCATGCCAACAACTATTCATTTCAATTCAGTTTATTTATATAGCGCCAATTCACAACACATGTCATCTCAAGGCACTTTACAATTCAACCAGATCATTCAGTCAAGTTGAATCAAAGTTTTCTATCTAAGGAAAACCAGCTGATTGCATCGACTCATTGACTCGAAGGGAAT